ACAGGAGTAATTATATCCCATTACACGAGCCCAAACTGGTGTATAACCTGGGGTTTATACGGCCATAGTCAAAACAAAAGAGCCTTTCCAGTCTCACTATCCCTCCACTGGCACCGGCCATTTCTCTTCCGTTTTACCCTTCGGCCACTGTCCATTCGACTGAATGTTATTATTGTCTTTACGTTCAAACGCGTCGGTCCAATATCGCTCAAGCGTGATTATACCAGTGTTATGTCCATGTGTGGACAAGAGGAGAGCAAAGGGAGGGAGTGGGAGGGCTTGGAGATTGATTATGTGTGTGTTCTCTCGAGTTTGTGCTTTAGCTCTGTTTTCACATAATATACAGTAAATGAGGAATTAATCGGGCGTGTTGATCGTCCATTAACGCGCCCGCAACAAAGGAAAATTCCATTGTCAACCAGCTATCAGACCATTTCACCCACAAAATACTAACAAAACCGACCTTAACAATAATCCTTGCCCTATTGTTGTTGAAAGGAAGCTTTTTCTTGAGCTGATCAATCCCCTATACAAAATACTGTTCATTATTGTCGAGATATCCCATTAGAATGGATTTCATTGAAATTCAATGGAAAAGAGTAATCGGAAATAAAAATTATTGTAGAAATGAGCATTTGGGGTGTACCCTTCTTAATCTTGAGCCTCTTGCGTGTCCCACGGGCATAACCCATGGATAAAAACTAAATCATGGGATGTTATTCACACGGGAGAAAAGATTACGGGCTCTGGAAGGCTATTGCCGAGAGTCTTTTACGCAGGGGGTGAATCTCGGGGATCGAATTTCTCAAATTATACAAGTTCCTGCTTTCCACTTCCCCTCAATATCTTTTTTGGATAAAGGAGCGAGCCCGCGAGGAAAAGTGTCTTAACAGTCTCTCCACACGAAACATGGATTAAGCTGATTGCAGGTATTTTTTTAAATTTCACTCTTGCTTAGACAAGAATGGGATAATGGATAAACGAAAGGTGCGAGTTATTCTCCTGTTACATATCCCATTACATTTAGTTAATTGATTTAAGAGAATGAGCAGTGTATAGGAAAAATAGGAGCTTTGATGGTGAAACTGAAAATGGAGAATTCCCCGGTGTTCTCTGAGGGATAAGAGAAAGCTCGGGCCCTCGAGGGCTTTACGAAACAAACTGGGTGCTGAGAAGGGCTCATCAAGCTCTGGCCTCGATGGCATATTGATCGCGAGATTAATATATTCACTGGTAAGCATTAGCGTACACGAAACTTGTGCGAGGAATATCGCGTACGACGTTGGCACAAACCTCTGCGGTGTGCGCTTTAGCTCGCATCTCTCCAACACTACTTCCTCAAACTCAAGGGGATCGATAATACTCGGAGGTACCATAAGAAGCTTAAGAACGCGTCCATACAAAATGCGAAATCTCAGGGATTTTGTCAATACGTTAATCTCAGAGTTTATCAATTTCCATCAGCACTCGAGGCACTGAAAGTGTCGGCAACTTTCTATTTCATTATGGAAAACTATGGGTTACCGGGGTTTCAACATAACTGGATTTTTATGGCAGTTGTAAGAGGTCTACCTAACTTCAATTATTCAGGTGCACTTTTACGAAAGCCGACAGCTCACCAGCGATTTTTAACCAAGAGTTACGCTCAATTGATTCTCCTGAGAAAATAATCAAGAAATGCCAAAGTTTAAATTTTTCACGACAATAATGAAAAAATAGAGTAATAAATTTCATGACCCCCCTCCCCCCTCAATTCCTCAAAGATTTGCCGTACAGGCGAAAAGCAATCATATTACCCGGAGTTTTCTCATTTTTGAGAAATTGAAAATATAACATTTCCCCACTGCATGCCAAGAACCAATAAGGCAGGAAGGCCTCTAGAGTCTACCACCGAGAAATACCCAGGAAATTACCGGCATCATATACCCACACAGTTGTGTACACACTCGTTTACACCGAGGCTTCATTAGAACGAATGTTTAAACCAATGTGCTTCCCCGAAGGGCACACGAGTGAATTGATCTACGTTATTGGATAGGAGCCAATTCCCATGGGGATGGTGATGTTAGCTACCGATTGGTGTTTACAAAAGAATGAGAGGGACTTTATGCGTGACAAAACGCCATAGTCCATGCCCACCGATCTTCCTCCACCGATCGACCACCATCGCAATATCGCACCGATCCCTTATTTTTATTCCCTCATTACTCCCTCAATACCACAAGAAAAATAGATTGATGAAAATTGAGGAACAATAGCAGAGGTTATCGACCGGCGTTAAATCGTCAGGGGTGAATTGTTTGGGAATAATCGCTGCTGGTGGCACTGAAAGATTTCCCTTGATAATTTACACACGTGCTTTATACGTGGGAATAGACATGCGATACTCCACATACTGCTCAGTTGTACGAGCCTATGTAACGGGTGCAAGTGTTATTATCACGATTCACCGTTTGCATGAGGCGATGGTTAGCCCTCTGACACACAGAGAGAGGCCTCAGTCCGACTTTTGAATCACTCCCGAGCGGTTGTGGAAAACCACCAGGGGAGGTACCCCCATTCAAGCAAAAATACATCAACAAATAATGACTGATAATCGCTAATTGAATAGTCAAAGGCCAACCTGGCTGGGTTATCATCAGAGACCTGCCCCAAGGACAGAAAGATCGATGATCTCTCGTTCCTCGAGGTGAGTTCACGGTCAGCCCTGCACAACCTGAATATCGATTTTTTTTTCCCCTCGCGACTGTACCACCGACCGACCCAATTACCCCATGAATTATAGCCAGTCTAAAAATTCAAACTTTCTAACGAGGCTAATGAAATACAAGTTGACAGTAACGCGATACTAAAAATAGTGGGAGAAAAATGAAAAATTTCAAAGTTTCATAAAAAGGAGCTATTACATTTTTTTTTTTTGTTATAATTTCTCTGCGGCAAGCGCTGCGGAGTTTTCTCCGGACGGGGTTTGAGGGCCGGATAACAACGTACAACGGAAGTTGCCGGTTTGCCTGTGGCGGGTTAACATTAGAGGGTCAAGCCATTCAGTCGCAAACCGCCTGGTGAAAGCATCGCCACGCCAAGGGGAATTGTTCCTCGATTTTTTAATTTATTTTTCAACGGCCCTCCTCCCTCTCTCGAATTCTCCAATACTACTCAATCAAGTTTTCCACTGACGCGTTCTATCTAATAAACCTAGTGATATTCCCCACGAGTTACCGGTGGGGACGAGTCCGAGTGAGGAGATAAATAAAAGTGGCGCACATCGCTCCTCTCAACTTATTCCATCGAGAAAAGAAGGATCGAGAGGTAGTCAACCCTCAACGAATAGTCAGCCACGAATCCTGGTAAATTTCCGCTCTGAAAGACTCCCACTACGCCAGAATCACTGAGATATTCAAAAATCCATCTCCCACCCAACATTTGTTTTTCTAATATTTCAAGAGGCCGTTGACCTGGAAGTCTTCCATCATCAGTGAAAGAGAGCAGAAATTTTCTGATGGCGTCCTCCAACTTGGGTGAAAATACTCTAATGAAAGTTGAAATTTTGTGATTTTTATGGGGTATCGAGTGCGACTTGTCCTGAAGATCGACAACCACTAGATGCAATAAAATATATTTTCAAGGAGAGTGTAGGATGATGTTTGAAAATAGAATGTGGCGAGCGAGTGTAAGGAATATTCAGCAATAAAGGCGAGCATCATGCGAGTAAGGTTAAAAGAAACGTGTGTCGTGCCGGATGTTGGGGATCAGGCGGATGCTCATACAGGGTTATATTCCCAAGCTTTTGCCAGCGATGACGGTGGGTTATATAGGATCGTCGATAAGCGTCTCCATCGTGGGGGACATTTCCTTGGTGGCAAGCGCGCCATGCGTCAATATTGACCCATCGGATGGATCCCCACGGAGTAGTAGAGAGTGGACTACGCAGAAAACTCGTCGCCCCATCTCCATCGGGTGGTTCAATGGTTTCAGACTTATGCCACCATATAAGAGAGGTGACGTAAAACGGCTGACAGTGAAAATAAACCAGCTAAAAAAGATAATAGAAGCGCTAATTTTGCACCGGGAGCTGCCAGCCACTTTGATCGATGGAACGTTAATCATCGACTACCTCGTAAAATCGAGGCTTTACCCTGTCTACATTACGTTTCTATCTTTCTCCAACCGATTAAAGCGTGACGGTTATTTCTGCACGTCGACTCCTGGCGCAAAGGACGACGTGAAAGCTCGGGTAATTTGATTCTAAAATAGAATTAGAAGATATCGGACGTCTTTTCCGTCACTGGCCGACCGCTTCTAGACAGCGAAAGATAGTGGGCGTGGTGGCAACGGGTTAATATTGAGGAAGAAACTCTTTTGAGTATCAGTGAATTCTTTATGAGCGGTTAATTGAGTTTTTATTCTACCCCCTTTTAACGTGGAGCTCCAGGAGATGGAAAAAGACGACGCGCCTCTACAAAAAATTTCATATATTTTTCATTTCCTCATCCCCGGGGTGAATTACCCTAAAATTCAATGTGAAATTCGTAATTACTTGAAAAATTCACTGCGGAATTTACACTATTTTCCAACCTTTAATTACCTACACAATCAGGTCGATACACGCGGAGAGAAATTTATGTTGAAAATTACCATTTTCAACACCATTTTTTCCCCCGACAGTGTGTCCTCGACGTCAAATAAATTTAACTTCGTATTTTTGCCGCATCTAGCCATTTTATTATCGTCTGCGAGGCGAATATGTGTGAAATCAACGGCTGGTCGGTGGAAAAATTGGATATTGGAAAAAAAGTCACTTCCTCTCCGAAAAATCCGAGATCAGGTCCCGGGGGTCGCGATGAAAATAGATTTTTTTCTGTTGCAATTTTCGTCGATGCAATTCGATCTCGATTCGATTCCAGCACTCGCAAAGCCATCTATCGTTTATCTATCGAATCTACTCTGAAAGGATGACTCTACCCAGTCGATAATATTTAAAAAAAACCTCATGCCCTTGGAGCCCTAGAAATTCCTCGAGAGTGAAAGTGCATTTATCCTCAATGAATTAAATTTGCTAATTATCGTAATATGAAAATTTGTTGTGTGTAAATTAGAATGAATCCGAGTGTGTGACTCGCGGTGATCCCGAATAATAAAAATTCAGATAATTCCCCGACTAATCGAATCGGAGTGCGAATAAATAAATTAATTTTCAATAAGCGTCTGTTAATCTTGACCACGGGATAAATTGCTTTTTAATTGGATGAAACTAATGGCTATTGAGAACGAATTAATCCGTGGGAACAAAGAGAGCCGCGATAAAGTCATTGTCAAGCAGTTGATAAGGCATTGCGCATTTAATTACTGAGTGCGGTATCAGTGCAGAAGTCTGGTATTAAATGAATTGCGCGAGTGATTGTCACCCGAGGAGTTTAAAATCGAGGCTTACCGCTGTTAAATGAGTTTTGCATTTCCAAATACATTGTCGTCTCTAACCTAAAAGTTCTTTGCCCTCGACTGGATGCAGTTACAGTGGTGCATACACTATTCTCGCTAGCACTGGAAACAACCTGTGGCACCGATGCTATCGCTATTTTAACCCGTAAACAAAAAGATAAGAGCAGAGCTTGGAATCCTTTGAGGATTATTCATTAGGGCAATATACTCGCATTATCATTAATTTTTTTATTTCGATCAAATGGTTGTCTCTCGATTATTGAATATAATCAGCACGAAAGGAGATGCACGTGCGAAAAATGAGGTGCCATCAGCGAAAAAGGTGAAATTTAACCGGGATTTTAATTTGATTAGAATTTTCATTGTAGCAGAGTCTATTTTTGGATATAAATCGAGCGAATGCTAGGGGCGAATAATTTTTTTTTTATTAGGAATTATGTTGTTTGCAGACAGTTTCCGAGAATGCTAAACTCGATGCAACTTCACCCCCGACCGACGACGATTTGGAGCTGTGGGATCACTCCGGGTTCATGCTGAGGAGTGACTTCGACGACCACCTTACGCACTCAAAGTAATTAATTCAATTGAAAAAAATAGAGACTCCCCTCTAAAGAAATTTCTCACGACGAGTGGATAATTGATAAATTGTTATTAAAGGTGGGGAGCGCAAGGGTGGTGTCGCCCCAGCTGCATACCCATCAGTATAATCCTCATCCTGATCGTCCTGGTTGTTCTCCTACCCCTCCTAGATCACACAGATCACAAACACCTCAACAACTGGAGAAATGAATCAGAGTTCATGTGCATGAGCAGTTGCAAGATATCACTGGTGGAGTCAATACCCGTTGGCATGGTATACGATAACAATTCCGTTGTTCACAAGAGTACTTATCTCACATGGATGGATCTTATAAACTCGGCCGAGAGCACCATTGAAATAGCTGCCCTCTATTGGACCATGAAAAGAGAGGATGTCTATCCTGATGACAGCGCTAGATACGTGAGGGCTTTTCAATCTTTTATCATTGCACAAAAATCCCACCAAAAAGCCCCTCGACCTATTCCTCTCTGACATTTCGCTCTCATTACACTGCCTGATCTTTTTTCAATTCCAATATAAGACGCTGGATTTTAATATAAAAACGATTGTTCTTCAATTATTAAAAGGGAGAGTACGTTTTCGATGCCCTGGTCGATGCCGGTAGACACCGAGGAATTTCCATAAAAATCGCACAAAACGCTCCTACTCAATCAAATCCTAACTTAGACAGCGAATACCTAGCAAAAAAAGCCCACGCCGAGGTAATTAATAAATTTTCTTCCGACCCACTAATAATTATTCGGAAAAAAGCCTATCAATTTCCATATGAATAGGTAAGGAGTTTGAACTTTGCGGGATTACTAGGAGGCGGTGTTCTTCACACGAAATTGTGGCTGATTGACCGTAACCACGTGTACGTCGGCTCAGCGAATATGGACTGGAGATCTCTGACGCAAGTGAAAGAGCTCGGTCTCGTCGCCATGAATTGTTCGTGCCTTGCTAACGATCTTGCCAAGATATTCGAGGTAAAATCAATAGTCAATCGTCATTGTATATGGCGCCTATCGTACACTTATGGACGTTTGCTCTACAGGTTTATTGGCAACTAGGAAAGGAGGGAAAAGTACCTCCAAATTGGCCTGACTCACTCAGTACAAAAATCAATGTTAATAGAACGATGAATTTCACGCTAGATAATAATAGATATAAAAGTTTTATCGCTGTGAGTATCGAGAGGGAGTTTAATCAGTTTAATCATTCCTAAGAGGAAATTGAGGAATTTAATTGATTTGTGATTAAAATGAAAATGATTTGTAGAGCTCACCACCACCGTTATCCCCAAAAGGACGTACAAACGACATCGATGGAATTCTCCACTGCATCGAGAAAGCCGAGAGATTTGTCTACATATCAGTAATGGATTACTTCCCCCTGACAATCTACACAACGAAAGTAAAATACTGGCCAGTGATTGATGATGCCCTACGATCAGCTGCTATCGACAGGCGAATCACAGTGAGACTGTTGATATCCTGGTGGAAGCACTCGAGAGAATCCGAGGACAGTTTCCTCAAGTCATTGATCGATCTCACTAATTCGTACAAAAATGTTAAAATCGAAGTTGTGAGTATTTTTGATGCAAAAATTTCCATAAACTCGGAGAGAAAAACTAATCCGAGAGTAACCACATCTATTTTTTGTCATCCTCCCCCTCTTTATTCCTATTTTCCAGAAAAGATTTATCGTACCAACCAACGCAGAACTGGACAGAATTCCATTTGCACGAGTGAATCACAATAAATATATGGTGACAGATATTGCCGCGTATATTGGCACTAGCAATTGGTCTGGCGATTATTTCATCAATACTGCTGGTAAAAGCAATTTTCAATTATCGAAGAGTGGATAAGAATTGAGTGAAACCATTGGTGATGATAGATTTCGATATAAATCATGGAAAAAATTCATTAAGGAATTAAAACAATTATTTTTGAGGTATTGGAATGGTGTTTGAGGATGCTGACCACAACAATAGCCACAGTATTCGTCAGCAGCTTGAGGAAATATTCCTCAGAGACTGGAATTCCCCCTACGCTCATTCCATGAATGCATCGTGCTTCAATCGTCTGGACGAACAGACAAAGCCGAAAATCAATCATTTCATGCAGTTCCAGAGTCACCACATCAGAGCGTAGCTGTACAGCCATCAGATTTTATATTATTTCAAGTAGATTTTTTTTACTCATCCCAGCGTTAAGTTTGCATCTATAATCGATAAGTGATTTAATTCAGTGGGGGAGTGATTGAATTCATTCTTCAATAGTCATTGATGAATGATTTATTCTATCTCTTGAGAAAATTCCCTCAATATTTTCTATTCGAGATTTCACATTGGACTCAATTAATTCTTCCACTTCACCAGTGAATTAATGGATTTATATAAAAGGCTGTTTACCATTGGGCAATTTCCGCCTGAAATAATGTAAAAAAAAATGCGACAAACTTGCAGCAATTTGTAAATCACTACAAATGCCCAATTCACGAGTATTTCATTGTAGTTGATCGATAAAGTTTGCTCATTCCTTTCATGCTAACGTTGCGACTTCGATTGTAGAGAGCGAGATGTAAATTTGAAATTGAGTCACGTATAAACAAAACGATGACGAACAAACTTTCAAGCGTAGTTTGTTAGCTACACCAAGTCTATGATATTAACACATTTTAATCAGTAATTACAGTATCATCATGTTTCGATTAGCCTTTATTATTTTGGAAATTCTTCCTGAATTTTGATCGATTTATATTCATTTATGCCTGAGACGTAAAAGCCTGAGGTAGAGATTAAATTGGAATAAAAGAATTGAGACAAGAGGAGGGACACGATTTCAGTGTTTTCATAGTACAAGGTCTTTACTTTTGTTTGCTCTGCTGGTAATATTTGAGTTTAAAAATGGACAAGAGGATGTGTTCCCTGTGGGAAAATATATCTCTCATGAACAATGACAACGAATAAAGCAGACGAGACTCCGCCAGAACGTGAAAAATACGAGGATCATGCTTTGTAAATAGATTTAAATTTAAATAATGGGCCTTGAAGAGATTGAAACTTTGAATATATTTTTACGAGTCTTTTCAACAATTGGAAGAATCTGATGAATCACATCCCAAATAGTTAACGATGTGTAAAATTTTGTTTCGCAATATTTAGATTTCAAATGGCGTTTAGAAGGATTTGTTGTTCCTAATTTGGTTAGACAATTGCATTAGTTCCCATGAATTCTACATCAATTATGTCCGCCGACAATTGTTAAAAATGTCTTCTGAGCCGCTGTTGAGGAACAATTCAATGGCAAAAATAGAAAAAAAAATGATGAAAATACTGAAACGAGCTGTCTCATAATTTCTTCCATCCAATCTCCCGAATTGCCCTTTAAAGTTATCGCAGTGAGGGAAATAATTCAGTTCCAGCTCTTGCAGTTCATAATACGCCGATGTACGTCATGATAAAACCGATTAAATAGAAATTATAGGGTTCATTAAATGATTCTGTCATTAGCCTTGACCAGTCTGAGGGACGGACGTCTTCGACTCAATTAGTTACACTGTATAAATCTTGTGACATGTTTTTATCATTCATCAGTAATTGATATTTAATTGATATTTGATATTTTTTTTACTCATGAGATTAATCGGCATTTTTAGAAAGCTGGAAAATTGGAACTGAATTATTAAAAGTACTTCCACATGGAAAGACAGTGATTTTTTTTCCGAGTGAGAATATTGAGCAATAATTATGCAGTATAAAAAAAGCAATAATTTTCTTCAGAGGTTATTTTAGAGATACACAGACGAGAGAAATCAAACTTCATATTCAAATTGCCTGTGCTTCTTTGAGATCTTCAAATAGCTATGAAAAATAGTACAGAGTAAATAACCATTCAGAATTGCTTTTCCGTAGAAAATTATTGCGTCCACCAATGGAGGCTGCACCATCGGCCGTTCAAGGTGACGATCATTCCAATTTGACGTACAGTGCCAATGAATAGTAAATAATGTGGTCACACATGCCGGGACGTGTGTCACCTTTCGGATTCAAGGCGAGGGTTTATCAATCCCCACGTAATAAAAAAAGTATTTGCATAAAAAATTCTTGAAATCCTCTCTCGAAATTAAAAATCGCGTCATTAAAAGAATCATCAACGAGTTGCCCCTGCGAGTTTTAAAATTCATCAATAAATTATGAATGGATTATATTTGAAGTTTAATGAAATAACGAAACAGGGAGAGGAGCAGGTTCTTCTAACAATTTTCAGAAACCTAACGCGCTCGAAAGTCATTTGAATTCCTAACGTCGAAATGATAATGAGAGTCACCAAAAAAACAAGTAAAATAATCGAGGGAGGAAAGGATGATTGGAATCCAGTGTTCAGCAGGAATACGGAGCACAAAGTGTTTGAATCCCCACCCACTGGTGAATTCTCCCTCCTCGGGACTCACTTGAGCACAGGTATCCCCATGAGTTCGTCCACATCGTGATTGACCTCTTCGCAGTCAAGATATCCCCGTGTTCTATCCTAAAAAGCTTCAAATAATTTCCAATACCTCACCACCATATTTAAACGCCCAAAAACTGCCATAAAAAATTATTCGCGGATTGAAAAAGCCAAAATTTCACTTTTTAAATTCCTTTTCCACGAGTGAATAGCAAATCGAAGACCTTGGAGAAAGTGCGATAGAGGACACATTGCGAGGCTTTTGGCTTTGGCACGAATAAGGTTAGTGAAACCTAATCGTTCAATAGATGCGAATGTAATTAAAATCGTCAACATGAGAGAGAAAAGGGCCGAAAAACCTTGGGGTCTGGTTACGCAAAACAAAATTTGCGCATGATTGAATAAACAAAAATTGGAATTAGTTGGTCCTTGGCTGTTATAACTGCCATGGCCATAAAATTTGAAGAAAACAATAATTAAATCTCAATTAATACCTAGCACCTCGGATCGGCGTGATTCACCCGGCGAAAGTGGAATTGTCACGTAAAAGTATTTCCTATCCTCCCCAACGATTGAAAATTCGAAGAGGTACGAACGTGCCCGACCTGATTTGTAACTCCGAATTGTCGTCACGATTCGAAAACACCTGAGAATTCCTTGAATTCTTTATGTCCGCTTCACGATTCGATCTGTACTATTCCCCCAAATAATTCCATGGCATTCACGGTTACACTCTTGTTGCTATTTACACCAGACAACACGCGCCACAGCCCGAGGGCAAACTCTCGAATAACATCGTGACTTTTTGTCTATTGCATGGGATTTGAGTCCCCCTGCGTCGCCATAGAACAATAATACTGACGATTCCTCAGCGAATTGCTCAACGCGTAAGGTATCACCCGTGCACCTCACTACCTGCATTATTTATTAAGCCAAGTCTCACATTTGACGGCTCAATCTCTTTAATGCTCGTCATATGAACTTGAAAATATCGAATACCACCGATGAGAATTTTCGGAGTAATTTTTTTTCCCGTGAAAAACCAATTGATGCATTTTTAATGCGCAACTGCCATAAGAACATTCACTCCTACGTCCACTCCATCATAAAATAAACTGAAGATCCATTATAATTGCAAATGATACCTCCCGAGAAATTGAGAGAACAAAAAATAACTCTCGACTGAAATTATCCCATAACGACCCGACAATTATCCTCATTAATATAAATGCACGATAATGGAATAAAATCGTTGATAACGAGTGAGTGCAAGAAAAATTGCACTCAATTAATCCCGACACGTTTAATCCTTCGGCGAAAAGATACAAAGAGAGACGAATGAGTATTTCCCACATTTAAATTCATAAATGCTACACGAATGGTGCTAATCAATTGGACACACGTGTACTTTGCATACGAGATACAAAGTCGAAGAGAGCACCCTTTCAACTTTACGTGTCACTCATGCGTCACTCTTTAACAGCGAGAGCATTAATTATTCAATTATTTCATTTGACATTCTCCCTACGAAGTTTAATAAATCAACTCGCCGGTCCTTGGGGTTTTTCAAATGTACTGAAGTCCTAGTTCTTTCTATTCAACATTCGAACGCGGAAGTTTAAGTTGTGTAATGATTATCAATCATCGATTCGCGAATTCTAAAAGCAATTTCGCATGAATTTGGTAGAGTACTCACCGTTTCTGCTATTCAGGCACTCAGGAATTGAGGAATTCAGGAAGTTCTCCCGATGACTACATCCTCTTGCAGTTGTGAAATTGATGAGTGACACTGACACTTCCTGCGAACACAAAAACAATTATAATTAGCATATTTAATTTGATTTGAATAATTGCATAAGACGTTCTATGTACGATGGACCTCCGTTATGGAGCATTAAGCCCAAGAGATTTGAAATTCCTCTGAAAATCTCGGGGACAGAAAGATTTGTACATTATACATGGTTCACGGTGTAATCTGAATGAAGAGCCCAAGGTGATTATTCCCCTGAAACGACAGTCGTTATTCAGCTTGGAATCCACAGGATTGAGACCGTTATCCAGATACCCAAGTGATGAGGAACTTTGGGTGACCGAGTGATGAAATTTAGGGGAAAGGAGAGTATTTACCGCAAGATTTTACTGGAGTTCTAGAAAATCTCCTGCAAGGTGCAATAATTCTCTCCACAAAAAGAAAACACCATGCTGAGTACTTTCCGAGTTATTTCGTTGTACTGCGAAAAAAAAGTGTCATTAAACTGACTTCCTACTGTTGCATAAATAATCACTATTACGTCGGGCGAGAAAAAGTAGGGCGCGCAGATAAATAATCGGTAATGATGACGTTGAAAATCAAGTCAATGACATTTTCATCATCTCATTCAATTAATGAGTAATTAGGTAATTGAGTATCCATTAATTATCCCTGGGATTTCTAAGACTGGAGAAGTATTTTTTTGCCCACCGAGGAAACGCGACAAATCGAATGTTTGTTTCAAATCTGTGGAAGTGGGTTTTGTCTTAGCCCGTTTCTGGTTTGCGTAATATTCCCGTAAAACTCTCTTCCGTATTTCTGATCGTATAATGAGCGAGGGATAAAGACCGAGGGTCTTTTACTCCAATCAGAATGAGAGATACATAGTATGGGGAAAAAAAATAGAGAGGAGAGCACGGGCTATTTATTTACGCTCCATTTCGCATTGCGTCATCTGTTCGCTCAGAAGAAATCAATTGAACTCGTGGACTTTTCACTTTTTCGACCGTGAATAGATGAATTTAACATTGGAGAATTCCGTGATATCGATCGAAAAATGCCAGTCATTCCAAAATCACGAGAATTTCTCCGACTTGATTGTGCGAATCCTGGAGTCATCAGTGCCATCCGTACGAATTTGGAAATTAAATTCATGAGACTGGTTTTCTCAGATCGTTGAACCCGAGATGAATGCTCAGTTATTCATACATTCGATCACTCCAGGTACTCACGTACAGGTGAAAGTTTAGCCAATTCACAGTAATTTTGCGTATTACACTTCCGGTATTATTATTCCCTCACTTGACATCAATACCATCTGCGATGAATTACCTTGCGCTCTCTGGGAATGCAGAACTTTTACACTCTGTACGTTGAGAATTGGCGGAGGCTTGCCTCTTAACTTAAACACTTTTACTTAATGCATGTTACCTCATCCCAGAGACGAGTGGAGAAAGCCGATTTTTTACGACTGCAGCTGAGATGAATGTGGGGCGTGCAAGTTAAGACTTTCGATCATCAAGGACCACCCAATTTTTACGATGAATTCACTTATTGGATTTTTATCGGGGGATATTTTCTGTGATTTATTTCATCCAGAGGTTTATATCGAAATTACCGCGAAGTTATAAATTGTAAAGATTTTTTTTGGTAAAAATTCAAATATCCTGTGAAATACGACATTGTGGAGACAAATTCCTGCAGAGACAATACGCTACAGGCTTACTAAACTTTTACTAGAATTTTTTTCCCATGTGGAATTCGCGAATCGGGATGAGGATGTCCTTTTCTTACGTGATCCAACTATTAATTTTAATCCATGTGTACCAGAATTAATTTGCAAAGTTGAATTATTCTGTTGATAGTGTGCTATCAAAAGCCTGTCAAAATGGTAGAGGCACTGCTGGAGTCTGGTGGACAAGATGTAGCTGTTGCTGAACAGGGTTCAAGGGCAGGTACACCCACAGAATATTCCCCCCAAATATCAAAAATATCGGACATCAATCTCACGCCGATACAGGAATTCTACACGGGCTCGAGTATATTCATAACCGGGGGCACAGGTTTCCTGGGGAAATTAATAATCGAGAAGCTGTTGCGGAGTTGTCCCAACATCTCTGTTATTTACCTCCTGGTTCGCCCGAAGAAGGGAAAGGATACCCACGAAAGGACCGAAGCACTTTTCGACGATGTGGTGAGTGCATTCAAATTAAAATCAATTGCTCCGACAAATAAATAATTTGGAATTATTCCTTGCAGGTATTCGAGAGATTGAAAAAAGAGCACCCCAAGTTTCGTCACAAAATAGTTGCCATCGAGGGTGATTGTGCCCTCCCAAACCTCGGTATTTCCGAATCAGACAAACAAATTCTTCTCCGCGAAATCTCCATCGTATTTCACGTAGCTGCAACTCTCAGTTTCGATGAGAAAATTAATCTCGCAGTGTCTATCAATATTGATAGCCTGCGGCAGATGATACAGATATCGAAGCAGATGTCAAAGCTCAAGGTGATTATCCACGATAATCAATTGAATGAATAATTCATCGATATCTCCCTCTTTCCAGTCATTCGTCCACGTTTCAACGGCCTACGCCTACTGCACACACACCAAAATTGAGGAAAAATTCTACACCCCTCCGATAGATCCTGATAAGCTGATAACCTTAATGAAATGCGTGGATGACAATCTTGCCCAGGAAATAACGCCACAGTGAGTCTCTCAAGAATTTTTTGAAAATCATTACGCAATTGCTATCCACATTGACGATAATCTCGTTCTTTAATTCAGTTTGTTGGGTAAATGGCCCAATACGTACGCCTACACGAAAGCAGTAGCTGAAAATGTAGTCGAGAGAGAAGCCGAAAACCTGCCAATTGGAATATTCCGTCCTGCTATTGGTAAAACTTGATTAATGATCTCACTTTATGATCTTTTAACTCGAGATGTTATAAATAATGCATTTATCGAATGATTATCGACTTCAGTGATTTCAACGTACAAAGAACCAATCAGAGGATGGATAGATAATATGTATGGACCAACTGGAGTGGCAGCTGGTGTTGGCACTGGTCTCCTCAGGTCTCTCCATTGCGATGGGTCAATTCATGCCAATGTTGTACCTGGGGATATGGTTGTCAATGCCCTGCTTGCCAGCGCCTGGGATATCGCCGAGACACGCAGGTAAATGTCTTGATTGCCTCTTCACGTTATCCCTTTAGATTGAACAACGAATTCCCTTGAATTGGAGATTATTCCACTGGGAAACACCGAAATCCATTATTGAATAAATAATTCTATTGATTTCAGAACCCAGAGAGAAATACCCCTGTACAATTACGTGTCTCAGGACAATGCAATAACGTACGACGACTTGAAAATAATGTCTGCTAAATACGGAATTGAGTATCCCACTGTGAGAGCAATATGGTACTACAGTTTTCGTAACAACAAGTACAGGATCGTTCATCTGTTCTTCATCTACTTCTTCCACCTTCTACCAGCATTACTCATTGATGCTGCTACGGTATGCATGGGAAAACGACCGAGGTGGGTAACGCAAGGCAGATCCAAACGAATCTGTTTGCCTCCAGTGAGAAAACAACTCGACATGAATCAATTGATGAATTAATGATATCTCAATTTTCCCCCAGATTGTTGAAAATTTACAAAAAAATTCACAAATTCATGGACGTTCTGAATTACTTCTCAACGAAGGAGTGGAGCTTTGGAAATGAACGTTTGAATTCACTGGTGAAGACGTTGGATCCTAGAGACAAGGAGATATTCTTCTGCGACATGAAGAAACTCGTGTGGGACGAGTACTTCAAGACTTATCTTCAAGGAATTCGAGTCTATCTTATCAAGGACCCACTGGACACTCTGCCAGAGGCGAGAATCAAATGGCGGAGGTGAGCAAGTTGATGAATTCTTATTACCATAATCGTTCCCAATTGCATCACCTCGGCGTAACATCATTCAATCATTTTTTATCTGGTTGACAGAATGTACTGGATTCATCAAGCGTTAAAATTAGTCCTGGGATACCTGATTCTTCGATCATTGTGGGGAATCTTATCAATGCTAATAACGAGTGTGGAGTAAAATTATGAGCTGATTCAGTGAGTTAGATTTGAAATATTTTCAGCTATGAGATGTTCTCAATAGCTCGAAAATACGTGGAAACCTGGGCTAATCCCCAGTAATGCCTTAGATAACGTTTAATATACCTCCGCAATTAGTTTAAACCCATTGTACATTTCAGTTTTTTACTTTTTGACTAGCTCTCTTCGCTGATGATTTACTGTTAAGTTTGCTTGGAGTTCTGTTAGTCTATAGTGCTCATTGTCAACATTCTTTTTGTATACTGCCTTATTTATATTAAACGAACATTTTTTAACAATTCAAGGGAATTTTTCATTTCAAGGCGTAAGGAATTCATTATCTTGAAGCTGTATGAACTGAATAATTCTTTGGAAATGAGATAGTTATGTGTTGGTTCCTCCCAATATTTCGCAATTTCATTTACTGAGGAAGCGGGGAGAAAGAATTATTCAACACCTCGGACCCTCACGAACCCGATTTTATTCTGTATTTTTACTAAATGTTTCCGTATTGTGGCTATAGCCTCAGGCCTAATTTATTATTTAATATCACCGATGAGTCTTATCGGAAGGGGGAAGGTCATTAAGTGACTTCCGTGTGCAAGACACCAAATATATTTATGAATAAAAATGAAATCGTACCTTGACCGTCGAAACGTAATAGATTTAATTCGAGGACAGTGTGATATTCACTTAAACCACCTGTCTCTTTTATAATGGGCAGCTATGTGAAGTTGGCATCGAAGTTTGAAAAATCTAACTTTTTTTTGTTGGTTTGGATTGTACTCATTGAGTACTTGAATGTACCCTGTGCACTTTTTTTTGTACCCTCTTACTTTAGCCCTGAAGCAGGGGGGCAAAATCGTGCAGAATCGGAGTTCAAGAAAA